GTCCACCTGCACTGTCCCCGTCCACCTGCACTGTCCCGGTCCACCCGTACTGTCCCGGTCCACCTGCACTGTCCCCGTCCACCTGCACCGTCCCTGTGCACCTGCGCCGTCCCGGCCCCCCTGCACCGTCCTGGTCTCTCTACTCCCGCCCCCACTTCCGTTCTTGCACTTCGCTTTTTCTTTCCCAAACTGAGAATACTGACTTGACCACGAGGTTACCCGGCGTTACCCGGAAGTGGGTCGGGGACAACTGCCCAATTTAAATTGCCCAATTAAGACCCCGCTCAAAGTGGTGTTTTGTTTTCTTTTAACAGTATGTAGCAGTACTCTCATCTGCCCGCACGAGCCACGTGGGGTCTTCTCTCCCCTCCTTCATCAGTTTCTTCAAACTAACTCTCTAGCGTTAGCCTAAATTTTAAATCCTGAAATAGTTAAGAAAAAGTGATGAGAGCTATCAGTGGCCCCTTTCTCTCTTTTCTTTTCAACATGTGTATATTTCTTTTCTTTTCTTTTCTTTCCTTTTTTTTTTTTAAAGAGGTTTTGCCATAGGATGCATGTGCTTGCCAGAGAGAGAGGGACAGAGAGGAGCACAAGTGGAAAAGTGAGAAATTGCCCCCCAGGGGGGTGCCCACGCCGCAGTCCCTTCTGCATTCTCTCCTGGGATGTTGGGCATGCAAGTACACATGCTGGCATGAGTTTCAAGCCACTGGGTCCAGGACTTGAACTGCGGTCAGCCATGTGGGAGTCCAGTGATGTAACCGCTATACCGTCTACAGGTCCCTGTACTTCTTCAGATCCGCAGAGTGTCACGGCAGGGGGCTCACAGCTGACTGTGGAGCTTTTTGCTCCGGGCAGGGGCCTGACCTCGTTGGCTCGTGTAAGGCCACCCTACTGCTCGCTCTCTCGTCCACGTACTAATTTATATCTGCCGTGGACCTTTCCTTCGTAAATGAAGGCAGAGACGTGATGGTGAGGCTTGCACCTTATTGGTCACTTTGCTCTCTCTTCGCCATTCTATTTCGTTTGACTTCTGTTCTAGGCACGGTCACATCTAGATGGCCAGTTATCAGGCTGGGGCCAGGCCCAGCCGTGGGAGCCTGTCGGCATGGTCCCAGTCTCAGCCCCACTGTCTCGGCCTGCTGCCGAGGCTGAGCGCAGACCCACAGTCCCACAGTCCCACAGTCCTACAGTCCCACAGTCCCACAGTCCCACAGACCCGCAGACTCGCAGACTCGCACACCCACAGTCCCACAGACCCACAGACCCGCAGACTCGCACACCCACAGTCCCATAGACCCACAGTCCTACAGACCCACAGACCCACAGACTCGCAGACCCGCACACCCACAGTCCCACAGACTCGCCAGGCCCAGCCGTGGGAGCCTGTCGGCATGGTCCCAGTCTCAGCCCCACTGTCTCGGCCTGCTGCCAAGGCTGAGCGCAGACCCACAGTCCCACCAACCCACAGTCCCACAGTCCTACAGTCCCACAGACCCGCAGACTCGCACACCCACAGTCCCACAGTCCCACAGTCCCACTGACCCACAGTCCCACAGACCCACAGACCCGCAGACTCGCACACCCACAGTCCCATAGACCCACAGTCCTACAGACCCACAGACCCACAGACTCGCAGACCCGCACACCCACAGTCCCACAGACTCGCAGACCCAGAGACCCACAGACCCACCGACCCACAGTCCCACCGACCCACTGTCCCACCGACCCACTGTCCCACAGACCCACAGACCCACAGACCCATAGACCCTCAGACCCACCGACCCACAGTCCCACAGACCCACAGACTCGCAGACCCAGAGACCCACAGACCCACCGACCCACAGTCCCACCGACCCACTGTCCCACAGACCCACCGTCCCACAGTCCCACTGACCCACAGCCCCACAGCCCCACAGTCCCACAGACTGGGCGATTTCTGGCCTGTCGGTTCTTCAGGGAGGTCTGTCAATAAAGGGGCCTCGCTGTTTGAGGTTGTTCTTGATGTCATCTTGGGATCTTCTCTTCTCTTCTCTTCTCTTCTCTTCTCTTCTCTTCTCTTCTCTTCTCTTCTCTTCTCTTCTCTTCTCTTCTCTTCTTTTCTTCCCCATACTGGCGTGTGCTTGCTGGAGGGAGACAGAGGCAGTGAGGGGGGAAGTGAGAAATCCCCCGGGGGATGGCTACACCGCAGCCCCTTCTCCACAATCCTCTAGGGATTTTTGCACACACACACACACACACACACAC